GTTTACTTGAGGTGGCCATCTTGAAGACTTTTGACTTCAACACAGAAGTGACTTCGATAGTCGATATGCATCCAATGATTATTTTCTGAAACCTTCATTAACATTTGTTCATGAGTTAGTGAGATGTTTTGCTAATATACTAACAAATATACACAGATTAATTACATGATCACCTGCTTTTATGACAACTGATTATTGGAATGGCAAAAATATGGCATTAAAAGTAAAAAGTTAATTTTGGTTGATTCCTGTAAACAATCTAAAGACTTATTCCCAAAGCGTGGCCTCGATCCTGACATTGTGAGCTACTGTTCAAGCTCACTGGACAGAGGTGGTCATAAAATTTAAAAACTAAAGAAAACAAGAGGCAAGCAACCTCTACAGATGTAAGATTTTACTATGTGCCTGAGTCCACACACTTTCTTAGAATAGTTCAGTTTAATTCTCACTCAGCTTAAACAAACATCAACAGTAAAGTAATAATGCTGAAAATGTACCAACTGGTCCAAAAGACCTGTACTGGTTTGACAATTACCTAGTCGAGCCATTCATTGTCAAGTTATTGTCTGGTTGTAGTAAAAATAAAAAAGAATGCAGACACAACAACATTTCTGACAGCCGTATCAGTGTGGCTGCCATGAAACGATGTATTTGATAAACTCATGTAGTTACAGTTCTACTTAAACAAAATTCAATTCAGTTTATTTATACAGCAGAAGTCGTCTCATGGCACTGAACAGAAACATTCACATATAAAAATAATTTAACTTTTTTTATCTGAGGAGCAGACTGCTTTGAATTTAACTCCATCACAGAACTCTCATCTTGAGCGCGCATGAAGGCGACAGTGGAAAGGAACAACTTCTTCATGAGGAAGAAACCTTTAGCAGAACCAGGATCAGGACAAGCGGCCATCTGCTTCGACCGGCTGGGTTTGAGAGGAACAGATACACAATGGCAGGTCAAGAATCATATGTTAAGATAGAAATAGTATCAAATGAAAACTATTCAATTTTAATAATTAATTTAAGGAAATTAGGTCAATTTGTCCTCTAGTAGTCTAAGCCTATGGCAATATAACAAGCAACTTTAATTATAGGATTTATCAAAAAAGGAAAGTCTTAATCCCAGTCTTAAAACTGAACAATGTGTCGGCATCATGGACAGAAACTGGAAGTTGCTTATGTTGTTTCCTGCATCCTTCTTGAGTGTGAATTACATGAATTCAGGGTCTGCAAAGAATCAAAGAGCGGCACAAATAGAAGCACTTACCCAGTACCTCTTAAATTAATGATGTCCTCAACCAGTATATATGTCTGCGGAATAAAAAAAAAAACATCCCTGCATTTACACTCAGGCACACTGAAAGAGGGCAACTTCTCAACAGCCCCAAACACATTAAGGTGTATTTCAGGGGAGTTGTACTCTTGGTGCTACATGGCTTCTAGATAAAAACCTCTTGGGTTGAAGCTGCATCTGTGAAGTGAAGGTTAGCGGCAGGCCTGGCTTCTGTCTTTTACACCAACACAGTGTCACATCCTCCTGTGTCGTTGCATAGCACCCTGAAAAACAATGAGTCATGCTTCATTAAGGCTACTGGGGGGAAAAGCTTGGCCATGACATTATTATTAATCAGTAAGCTTTGCTCATCACGTCGCTTTTAAACTAACAGTACAATTTAACAGGAAGCAGGATGATACAGGTTGTCATTTCAGATGTGAGTTATATGTATCAAAGGTTAGATAAGGCTATAGACAAGTCAGAGAAAAAAACATATCAAAAATTACAGATGACAATAAATTATTCACTAACATTCATACACCATATTTATTAACATTAAAGTGTTTAAAACAAGGCTGTTGGTAAATGTTGAGTCCTTTTTTTATGCACATTCTCCAAGACTACGGTAGTTCTGTATATTTTATGAAGAAAAAAATTCTTAGATACATAGAATTTAATATTTTTGTTATGGGGTTCTCTTCATTGAGTTTTCCCCTATTAAATCTGTTGTTATGCGTCGTTAAATTAGACACCATCAAATATATCTCCAATAGAACAAATACTATCTAGGCATGCGGCATACTTTTTAGACAAATGCTGGGGGGGTTTTTTTGTTTCAATTTCATCAACAAATAATACAACTCGACTTTGTTTTTAATTTAATTTCTTGTGTTTTGTGGAAAAAACAAACTGTGCCAACCTGAGATTGATAAAGCTTACTTTGTAAAAGTGTTGTTTAAAGTGACAGTTGTTTTAGGGGGGGGTCTTTATATTCCTTCATTTTTAACGGTCCAATGGGTCGGCATGAGGGGAAGTAAAGTTAAGCTCACCCGTGACCAGTTTCCACTTTATAATCCTTTAAAATAAACTACGATAACTAAAACAAATGGTTGGTCACTCTTGAGTTGTTGTTGTTTCCCTCCCTCTCTCTTTTTCATTAGGGAGGTGGGTAGGTGTGTCAACAAAAGCATCCCAACTAGAAAGACAAACTCTGAAAACCTGACCTGTCACTACCAGCTGCCAGGTTTCAAATTATTGACCAGATGTTGGATATTAGAAAACAGCTGCCCATTTCTAGTGTTGATACATAAGAAAGTTACTGGTTATAAATTTCAGAGTTTAAAATTTTTTGAAACTTAAAAAAATACTTAGGAATAGTGTTGTTTATTCCATCCATCCATCTTCCGCTTTTTCCGAAGTCGGGTCGTGGGGGCAGCAGTTTGAGCAGGAGGCCCAGACATCTCTTTCCACAGCCGCCTCTTCCAGCTCTTCTGGGAGGACTCCCAAGGTGTTCCCAGGACAACCTCCTCCCAGTCGAAGCACCTCCCTAGTGAGGTGCCTAGGGAGCATACTTACCAGATGCCCGAACCCCCTCAACTGGCTCCTCTGGATGTGGAGGAGCAGCAGTTCTACTCTGAGTCTCTCCCAGATAACTGAACTTCTCCCCCTATCTCTAAGGGAGAGTCCAGCTACCCTGCGGAGGAAACTCATTTCCACTGCTTGTATCTGCCATCTCATTCTTTCAGTCACTACCCAGAGATCGTGACCATTAGGCCTGTCGCCATAAACAATAAATCAATTAATTACATGATAAAATAATCTACCTCATTTTAATTTTTCAGCTTTATCGTTTTTTCATGTCTCTCTTTCTACTGAAGACACTGGATGACAAAAGGATCAACTCCGGTGCTCTTCACTGGTACCTCCCTTTCTCTTTAAAATATGTTGTAACTGTCCAAAATCGTGTTTTTGGATCGTTAAAAGCAGCTAAGCTAAGAAGCTAAGCTACGAGCTAAGCTAACAGACTGACCCCCGGGAAGAAAATTCCGTCTTGTCGAAGCTCCAAAATTCACGGTTGAAACCCGTGAAACCCTTCGTGTAAAAAGTCGTTTTTCTTTGCAAAAAAAAAAAAAAGTCGAGAACTTGTTTACAGATTTTTTATTAAAAACTTTGTGTGAAAAATGCTATGCTAAAGAGCTCAAACCACACAGAGCGTCCGGCATTTTGAGAACTGAAAAACAGGAACAAGAGACAGCCCACGTCACGTCAAGGGGCCTCCCTCCCATTTTTCTTAGCGACACATTGCTCTCTCCCTCACTATCCATCCTTGGTTCAAACATTCTTGTACTGCCATCCAGTGGTCAAAAAATATTTCTTCTTAAATTTGACAATAATTACTAATCATTGTCAAATTTCAAACAATATTATCGTTTATCGCAATAATTTCTGAGACAATTAATTGCCCAGACAAATTTGTTATCGTGACAGGCCTAGTGACCATAGGTGAGGGTAGGAATGTAGACCGACCAGTAAACAGAGAGCTTTACCTTACACCTCAGCTCCCTCTTCACCACAGCGGACCGACACAGAGTCCGCAATACTGCAGACGCTGCACCAATTCGTCTGTCAATCTCACGCTCCATTCTTCCCTCACTTGTGAACAAAACCCCGAGATACTTGAACTCCTCCACTTGAGACAGAACCTCACCCTCGAGCTCAAAAGAACAATCCACCCTTTTCTGTTTGTTTATTCCAGTAACGATAAAGTACATATTTTGTTTATGTAATTTAACTTGCTTGTTACTTATGATGCTTTTCATTTTGAACAGTTTTTTGGTAGCAGGCAGTTGTCAGTGGGTGGGCGATGGATAAAGTGAGAGCAACAATTGGATTTGTTAATAGCACTCTCATTGACCTCATAACTTGCTCATCTGTTCCAATTGCCCGCTGCAGTCGAAGCCTATCTGTCCTGCACTAAAACCAAAGTGTAAGTAGCACCATGAATGAGCCCAGTTCAACACGGCTGCAGATTGACAGCTGGCAGGATTAGAACTTTTAACACCCAGTTCATCCTCTGCCCACTGATGCAGTAATCTGTGATGTAAGCATCAGTCTGTGTTTGGCTCAGTCCAGTGTTGAAGTATCACTGTAAGCAAAGACGAACATGGAGAATTATTCCAGGGTCAAGACCGTGGGATTAGATCCAGGGATTATCATAGTGCAGTTAGCCTCTGGGATTAAAATACAAACTGACAGTTTGCCAGACCGATAACCCGGCTTCCGCCAGGATCTGCTCAAGTCTTTTGTCCTCTAACAGCTCATCCTTGTATTAGTGTTGAATGGTTGAATAGGTTCTCTGTTATAACAGGAATTCAAGCGTGACACTGATTCTGTTTTGGCCGTGCTTGCTCAGGGTTAGGAGATTAATGGTTAGGTAACACACAAATATTAGTCGCACATACACAAGTCTGACTGTGATTTACACTGTTTATTACAGCAGAGTTTAAATTGATCATTTTAAGGGCATTAAACTTGGTTTTTTTTTTGGTAACAAGCTGTTTAAAATAAAGGATAAATCTACCTGTTTTGCTTTGCTGCATAACTGCACTCCTACCTGTGGTGTTCATTTTCATACACGTTTCAGATTTTTGTAAAAAGCTAAAGTTCATGAAGAGTCTCTGAGTTTTACTAAATTTCTGTCTTGTTCTGTTGGTTTGCAGGAACACACCGTGCGAATGAGTGATTGATGTCACCTTTGCTTCTTCAGGTAAACATTTCATGAATAAAAACTACAATTATTCAAATTACAGTTTTAAACATCATACAGTAGATACTCGATTATTCTCTTGGGCTTTGGTAAAATGGATAAATAAATGTTAATACTGACTCAGTTCAGTTTTAAGATATCTCTTGGTGTCTATTTGTGTCTTTTCTGCAGGGCAGGATGGGTGTGTGTCCCCTGCTCCTGCTGCTTGGTGTGGCCCTCGGGGCCTCAGCCCAAGATCCATCCACCGCAAGTATGCTCCAACAACTGTAGTACCGTCATATTCTGAGATTCTATACATCAACGTCTCACCAAGTCTTGTCTTCTTTTCTACGAGGTCCTTCAAATGTGTCCACCAAACCCACAAAGCCTCCAGTCGCACATCAACTTGAATTAACTCCTGCTCCACCCCCTCCAGACACTGCCATTGTCACGACGCCTGCCCCCACAGTGACGACAGTAACAACAGAAACCACCACAAGCCCAGGTGGTACTGAGAGCACCAAAACCTCTGATTCCACTACTGCTGGAATGCCACTCACTACAGCTCCTGCTGATGCCGCCGAACCACCATCAGTTGTCAAAACTCCCCCTCCTGCCACCCCAACAAGAGGAAACGCCACAACCGTGGCTTCAGACGTTGAAACTCCAGTGACTGACTCCTACATACCTGTGGAAACCACCACAAAACAGGTCACTTCAAACAACAAGCCAGATGGTGAGTGGTCATTCAGAAAAAAATTACTCATGCCAAATATATAATCATTTAAGTACCTTTAATCATAGTGGGTCACTGCTATCACCAGATTGTTTTTGAGGTTTACAGAGTAAAAAAAATCTGTCACGGTAACGATAAGTTGAATTCTGATCAAAGGATTTACTTTTTATTTATTTAAAAACTGCTTATTCACGGTTATTGCCATCTTATTTATTGATGGAGAGATAATGCAGGGCAGCACGGTGGCTCAGTTGGTAGAGCTGTCGCCTCTTAGCAAGAAGGTCGCCGGATCAAATCCTGGCTGGGGGCCATTCTGGGTGGAGTTTGCATGTTCTCTCCGTGCATGTGTGGGTTTTCTCAGGGTACTCCAGTTTCCTCCAACAGACTAAAAACATGCATGTTAGGCTGATTGGTAACTCTAAATTGTCCCTAGGTGTGAGTGAGAGAGTGGATGGTTGCTTGTCTCGTTTGTCTTTGTGTCCCTGTGATGGACTGGAGACCTGTCCGTGGTGTACCCCGCCTTTTGCACAGTGATTGTTGGATATGGGCACTAGTGACCCCCGTGACCCGAAAAGGAAGAAGCGGGTAAAGATAATGGATGGATGCTTGTAGCATTATGTTATGGTTAACATCCTCATGTCCACTTTATTGTTGATTCATTCTGGCAAAAGTATTTAAAGCAGGATTCTGGTTTCAGCTACATCTCTGACAAACTGCACCGTTTCTGGTTGAATGTTGCTTTTTAGGTCTATTGGACTTAAAACTTAAATATAATCATTTTAATCTTATCCAAGTTGTTATATTCAATTTTCATTAGGAACACAACTGTGATTAAAGCTGGGGGGGCGGGGCTTAATGGATTATTTCTTGCTCTAGAAACTGCGTTGAGATTCCGGTTATCTTTTCAGAGACTTTTCATGCTTTTATCCAAAGTGTTCTGCTTGTCTTCAGATGTTTGAGATGTATTTGTGAGTGAGAATCTACTTCAGATGTTTTTTACTGAAAGATTAGACGAGCCTGAAAGTTTTTGGAAACTCGGTAAGTGTGTTCTTCATGTGTGCAAGGCACTAATGGAGCAGAGCAGGAGAGCTCTCTGGTCAGGAGTCCATCTTTAATAATTTAGATTGTTGAACATTTTTGTGCTTTTAGACACCGTTGTAGGTTCTGGGAATATCTTTTCGTGTCACACCTGCTTTTGACTTGTCAGCCACAAGATTCCAAGCGCCACCTGAATAGGTGACTCCTCCACTCTATTAAGTGTAATATTTACGCATAAAAACTTTGAAACTCATGTCGTGATGCATGCTCAATAATCCAGGTAGAAAAATCTAAAAAAGTTAAGTCAGGTCCTCAGGACGGGTTCAAAAAACAAAAATATTGTAGAAACGTTTCGTCTTTCATCCAAAAGACTTCTTCAGTCTGAGGTGCTGTATTCAGCTCAATCTTATAAATAGCACCTTCTCATAGAGGATCAACCAGTTTGTTGTTGACATTCAAAACTATTGTTGGCTTTCTTGGACTGTGAGGTCTCAGTCTCTGATAGAGGACATTTGCAAACTGAGGTGTACCACAAACCCACCTACACAGACCAGTATTTGCAGTTTGACTCCCATCACCCTTTGGAGCACAAGCTAGGAATCATCAGGACTCTGTACCACAGAGCAGACAGCATCCCCACTAACTCAGGAGCCAGGCAGAAGGAGAAATCCCACACAAGACAGGCTCTAGAGCAATGTGGATATCCTAACTGGGCCTTCCTGAAAGCAGAGAAGAAACCCAAACAGGACTCCAGTCAGCCATCAGGTGAAAAGGAGGAACCCAGACCCAGACCAGTGGTCATTCCGTATGTTGAGGGAGTATCAGAGAAACTGAGACGTTTACAGTATTTTCTAAACATAACGTCCCAGTGGCTTTTAAACCCCAAAATACATTACGGCAAAGACTGGTTCATCCCAAAGATCCAGTCCCCCGGCACAAACAGAGCAATGTTGTGTATGCTGTTCAGTGTCAGGAGGGCTGTGATCAGTCTTACATCGGGGAAACTAAACAGCCACTGGCCAAAAGGATGGCCCAGCACAGAAGATCAACATCATCAGGCCAGGACTCTGCGGTCTACACTCATCTCCAGGCCAGCGGTCACTCTTTCAGGGATGAAGATGTTCACATCTTGGACAGAGAGGAACGATGGTTTGAGAGAAGAGTAAAGGAGGCCATCTTTGTGAAAAGAAATCGTCCATCATTAAACAGGGGTGGAGGCCTCCGGGTTCAACTGTCCCCCTCTTACAATGCTGTGATTGCTAGTATCACTCAGCCCTCTGTGAACAGTAAACAGCCATCAGTGTGCTAATGATCCATTGTTAGGCTGATGGTCCTTCTTGAGCATGTGATCAGCTGGTTTTGGTTGTCAGCAGCAAACTGGTTGATCCACTCTGAGAAGGTGCTATTTAAGAGACTGAGCTGAATACAGCACCTCAGACTGAAGAAGTCTTTTGGATGAAAGACGAAACATTTTTATAATTGTTTGGTTTTTGAACCCGTCCAGAGGACCTGACTTAATAGGGATGCACGATATTGGATTTTTTGGCCAATATTGATATTTTATATGTGTTCCTTTGTCAGAACATACTTTTCTTATTTAGGCTTATTTGCTACAAAAAATGTGCAACAGCAGTAAGAGCTGGTGACATATATTCAGTAACAGCCATATGATATGCATAGCACTTTGACTTATATTAAATGAAAAGTGTTAAATGTTATTTATTAGCATTAGTCACCTGCAATGCTGTCTCACTTGTGGAGGCTTGTTCCAGGTTCCTAGCTGCAGTGTGGGATCCTCTGCACTCCTGTGCATGAAGGACAGACTTTTTAAGTTCAAAGTTTTTGTCTATCCATTGTTCACTAAGACTAATGCTAACGGGGCTAACACGACGTCCAAATATCTGTGGTAAAACTCACCCAACAAGTCGTGCTATCAGCTATTAGCTTCTCAATGATGTCGGAAATGGGGGTCGATTGGGGGTGGGGCCGGTGCTCCGGTTTCCCCTGGGTTGTTTAAATCTTTTGATCAGGGTTCCTGGTTGCAATGGCCGGCCCATTGGCTGGGGTGGCTGCCGGGTTCTGGCGGGGGGTCGGCTGTGGTTGTGCATGTGTGGTCGTTGGTGGTGCAAGGCGGTGGTCGGGGGCGTGGCTTCACTTTGACTGGGTGCTGGCTCGTCGGCCTGATGTGACATTCGCGGTGGGGGTGCTGTGTGTGTGTGTGTGGGGGGGGGGGGTGCATGGGTGGCGTGCCGGGGCCTCTCCGGGCCTGTGGTGTGGGGCTTTAGGGATGCATTGGTGCGCTGGGCCAGCCTTCCTCGGCTGTTGTGCCCTGCTACTCTGGCCCCCGGCCTGGGGTTGCTGTCGGATGGGTGAGGCACATGGACCGCCCGACAGAGGCTATGTTGGGCCGTCTCTCTGTGCCTGTTTATGTTCCAGGTTGGGTTTTAGGTGGTCCCCTCTCTTGGATCAATTTTGCCTGCCCCCCCCCCCCCCCCCCCTTGGCGCGTTTTTGCCCCCCCCGGGGGGGGGCCCCCCCCCCCCTGCCGCCGGTGCATTGGCAGCTCTCAGCAGCTGGGGCTGGGTGGTGGGGTGTGTGTGGGCCCGCCCTGGTGGCTGCCTGTCGGGGCCTGGGTGCCCTGGCTCTTTCGGGCCTCTGTTGGGGGGTGGTATGACCTCAGGACTCGGGGCTTGGTGTCCATGGCCGGATCCACTCTGGAGGGGCGGGTTGCCGGCGGGGCCTGTGGACTCGTCGCTGCAGCCTCCTGAGGTTTCTGCATTGTGGTTGCTGGGGATCGCCCGGGGCTTCCCTTTGCTTCTCTCTCTGGGGGGTGCAGGTGTCCCAGTTGGGGGACTCCTGGAGTTCCGGGCTTGGGGACCTCTGTGTGTCTGTGGCTCCGGTCTTCCCTGTGTTACCATCGTGTCCTGTGGGGACGGGTCTGTGGGCCCCCACATCCACTATTGAACATTTTTATGGAGAAACCTTATAGTGACATCATGCTCACACAGGTGTTCAGATTCAGGTGTTTATCAGATACACACTCAGTTGGGTTGTGGTGGCCACTAAATATATCTTGTATTACCATGTACTGTATAAAATACTTTCTAATGATGTTATAAGTATCATTATATATGTTGTTTGTTGTTGTGGTTTCTCGGTTTTGTCTTGTTTTTTTTTTTTTCCACAGGTCTAGAGGCAGACTTCAATGATGTTGATTTGTGTTCTCTTTATCTCTCTCTCCTCTATTCCTATCTCCTTCTTTACCTTTTAACTTTTCTCTCACTTTTCTGCTTTATCTTCTTTTTCATCCCCATGTCCATTACATCTGAAACAAGCCCAAAGCAAATTCTAATAAAACTTAATTTTTATATCAAGTGGAGTATTAAGGCTAACCATAATGCTCTGCTTGTGAAAGTAAATCTGTTGGGCATCACTTTGACACTCGGTCAATAATTCTAAGTGTCACAATGGCGGACAGGACAAGGGAGAAAAAAAACAGCGCCTTTTATATCGGCGAGTTATTTTAATGAAATGGCCGATGTCCGATATTGAACTGTAACGCTAATATCTGCCGATACTGATACCATGCCGATAATATCGTGCATCCCTAAGACTTAACTTTTTTAGATTTGAAACTCATGATTAAACTAGTATTCCTTAAATGAATGTGTATCGCCTTCTGTCTTGCATGCCACAGGTTTTATTTTTATTTTTTTTGTCATCCTCAGCACACTCCACTACCATACCCCATACCAGATTTTTGTTCAGTACCTGTAAAACTGACTGAGTTGTAGCTATTTTTGCTCTTAGGTTCAGCTGTGGTGAGCATCTTGACTCAGGATGACTCTAAAAGTTAATCAGTTGAAGATGCGCATGCAGTAATTACTGTATTTTCTAAGCGTTCCATTAAAATTCATTGAGTGGTTCTTGATTTATTTAGCTAACAGACACGTGGACAGAGGTATGTACACAATCATCTGCCTCTTGTGGTGGCAGGTGCTAATTAGCATCAAAAAGGGCTTCAGTGAAAACCTAAAGAAAGTAGTGCTCAGTACTTTTTATCACCAGCTTGTAAAAACACTTGCATGTGAATCACGACTCTTCCACGTTTCTCTTTGACGTTAATCATTCATCATACGAATCTGGAGAAATGTCAAAATCAAAAAGGACTTTACTAAAGAGAGTAACAACAGCAGGTGTGGTTGTACAAATATAACGTTTTTGCTGCCATGACACTTAAATGTGTGTAACGTTGCTGTTGCAGTTCAAATAAGCATCAGACATTGTAGGTTAACTCAGAATAAGACCTGTGTGGCACCGATATTGTTCCCGTTATATAAAGTGATGAATTTTCATTTATAGGTATTTGCTCCATTGTCTCCCTTCTGGACATCCTTGAGCCTGGAGTAAATGGCATTAGGTCCATCAAGGCTGTGTCAGTTCCACATGACACTCTCAGCCTTTTGTGCTCATGCTCTGTTCAATGTACCTATTGTCCCAGTGAGAACGCTGAAAGTCCTGGGAAAAGTGCGTGAAAATGCAACACAGCTGGGCACTGTTCCAGATTCCATCTTGCAGAAAGAGTATAGAGAACATGAAGTCAAATGATGCATTCTTTGCAGCATACTTCTGTAATGTGGGGAACTCTCTTGAAATGAATTGATGGAACGGCTGAATCTCGTCCTTTTGTCACCACCACGTGAAGGCTGCAAGAAAAAACCAGTTGCTTCACCGCGTCCTGGTCTGTCTTACCAAACAAACATCATGCATAACGCATGAAGAATTAATTTTTGTAAATCAACCTTTTGTTCCAGCTGTGGGGTAAAAGGTCACCAGGAAAACTGCAGAGTTGTCCTTAAAATCGTGCACATGATGGAAATGTATACAAATCGATGAGCCATTCTAACCTGCGTCTGGGTAAAAATTGTAGCAAACCTGTGTAATGTGTGACGGTGAGCCCAGGTGGACAACGGCAGACACGATATCGTTCAAGCTTTTAACATTCGGAAAGCCTTCGATGTTTAAACTTTTAATAATTTAACAAAAAGTCAGAGCAAATACTGAACACTTTCATGTTTCATATTAACTCTTTCTGCCTGCTGCCATCTTGGATATCTAGTTACAGAGGAGGAAGTTGACCGTCTTAAGTTAAAATGTGATTCATTTGCTTCCTCTGAGAAAAAGCATGTGTGTGTGTGTGTGGGGGGGGGGGGGTCTTTTGTTTTAACCCTGTTGAGATATTAACATAGATATATGATGGATCAGAAAGATTCAGACTAATCTGAAACTTGAAATATGAAACATTGTGTTTGATTCCAAAAGTAAAGCAACGTGTATTTGGATTGATACCAACACCTTTTTGTTGTTGTTGTTGTCACTTGCAGTTTGCGCATCAGTCTGGTCAGCAATAAACTTTTTTTGTTGTTTATGGTTGTTCAAGTGTCCTCATGACTCAGTGAGACTAACCTCTAGGCCTGTCATGATAACAAATTTTGCTGGGCGATAAATTGTCTCAGAAATTATTGTGATAAACTATAACATTGTTTGAAGTTTGACAGTAATTTGTAATTATTGTCAAATTTAAGAAGATATTATTCATTTATTTTGCGTGTAGTACATTTTTTTGACCACCGGATGGCATTATAAGACAGTTCGAACCGAAGGATGGACAGTAAGGGAGCGAGCAGCGTGTCTCTTTAAGGAAAATGGGAGGGAGGCCTCTTGACGTGACATGGGCTGGCTCTTTTTGGTTCTCATAATGGCGGTTGCTCGATGTGGTTTGAGCTCTCTAGCATAGCATTTTTCACACAACGCTTTTAATAAAGAATCAGTAAACAAGTTCTCAGCGTCTTTTTGTAGAGAAAAACTTTTTTAGACCAAGACAAGGGTTTCAACTGTGAATTTTGGAGTTTCGACAAGACGGAGGTTTTTTCCCGAGATCGGCCTGTTAGCTTAGCTTCTCAGCTTAGCGGCTTTTAACGATCCACGAGGGGTCAGTGAAGAGCACCAGAGTTGAACTTTTTGTCATCCGGTGTCTTCAGTAGAAAGAAAGAGACACGAAGAAACGATAAAGTCGATAAATGAAAATGAGGTCGATAATTTTAATTTATCGTGCGATTGATTGTTTATCGCGACGGGCCTACTAACCTCTATAAATAAAGGTTGAATGAAAAAAGGAGTGATCTATAACAAGTTATATTGCTGATATCTTGGAAATGACTCTTCTGCCTCACAAAACATCCAAACAGATCTGGTGACTTTACCCTTAAAATAAAGTTTTAAAGGCTTTTTTCCCCAAAACCACGTCAAATAGTTGCACATGTTCATTTAGTTGAAACTGATGCACTATGATAAATCTCTGTCGCCACTCTTGAACTTCTTATGAGTTTTTTTTTTTTATTTAAATCTTTTTTCTCTCCGTCTATGATGCAGACGATGAAATGCCAATCATTGCTGTGATGGTGGCCCTGTCCTCCCTGCTGGTCATCATCTTCATCATCATCATCCTGTACATGCTCAGGTGGGTAAAACATGTTTGATCTTCACACTGCAGAGACCTTCAGGGCTGTAGGTGCTGCTGTTACCATGGCAATGACTGATTGGCACACCGCTGTGAGACAAAAGCAGAGCGCTCGTGGTTTTCTTTCTATCAGCATGTGCTTTAATCTTTGGCAGATTTAAGAAGTACAAACAAGCAGGAAGTCATTCCAACTCCTTCAGGTTGGCCAACGGCAGATCAGATGATACAGGTGAAACACCCTGACTGTGCTGTTTGTCGTTATGTACGCTTTGTGAGCAGATCACACTGAATGCTGAACAATAGTAACGGCAGCTTGATTAAACTTGTTCCACTTAGTTTTTTATGAAAATACTCACTTGATCCGTCCTCGTCAACTGGTAACATTTCACTGTGTGGATGTTTGCAGCAGACTTTTGTTTGCTGCCATTACCTAATCATCAGAGCCACAGTTGGCCCCAGATGTTGCATTGCTGACTGACAGCGCCCTCTCCTGGGCATTTTAGGAACTGAGCAAATGTTGAAGTTTCATGCTGAGACGGTTCCTCTTTCTTTCCTACTCACCTCCTTATCTCCACCTGTCTGTCTCTTCCTGTGCCCCCCTCCGCACCTCTCTTTTGCCGCCTCCCTTCCTGGTTCCTGGCACAGAACTCCAGAGCGTGCCGCTATTGGCCCGCTCGCCCAGCACAAACAGGAAGTACCCACCCATTCCCGTGGACAAGCTGGAGGAAGAAATGAACCGTCGCATGGCCGATGACAACAAGCTCTTCAGAGAGGAGTTTAACGTACGACACACTCGAACTAACATCCACTGATAACACGCTGATCACTGATGCTTACACACAAAATGATGGTAAACAGAACATACTTTATTTATTTAAAGTTTTACTTATTACTAAGAAAAAAGAAGTAGCTTGGTCCATACTAAGTTAATAATAATAATAATAATAATGTCATCACAATGTCAGCACTGTAGTTGTAAAAATAGGTACATAAAAATCCAGATGAACAACATTATGTTCTTAATTTTATTCATCAAAGCATAAGTCAAAATGCATAAACGATGTGAGAAATAATTGAAGTACTGGATACTTTTACTGCTTGGGTAGAAATGACAGTATTGTTAAAGAACTGACTGAACTGAGCATCATTTTATGTTAGACACCACTGTTCCTGACTGTTATCAAGACAAAGTGTCATTTCTATATTACTTTTCTTACATCTGCATCTCAGACTTCACTGGCCTCAAAAAGCTTCCAGTAACAACTGTAAGGTTAGAAATGGACCGACTGGGTGCGTCGTGTACTGAAGGTTTGTCTGAAGAAAGCATTTTCTGCCTAAAAACACAACACAGGTTAGATTTTCAAAGATTTGAACACTTTCGGATGTCTGGTCTGTAAGAACGTGGACAGATGTCAAAGTGGAGATGTTTGGTCGTAACCCACAACACGTCGGCACAAACCACACATACCAGCTGTCAAGCACGGGGGTGGAGGACTAATTATTTGGGCTTATGATTCAGCCACATGTCAAACCCTGAATTGTTAACAAGCTCCTTTTTATATCCTTCAGTTTTACAGCTGAAACTTGTCCAAAATTAAAATATTTAAGAACAACGATTCAAAGCACAGCAACAAATTCAAAACGGAACAAGAAGAGCAGCATTGCTACGTCACACTGGTCCAGTTTGAAAAACGGAACAAGAAGAGCAGCATTGCTACGTCACACTGGTCCAGTTTGACTCGATGCTGCTCAGAATCTATGTGGGAATCTGAGAAATGATTATTGTTGCAAAACAGGTTTCTACCACTTACTGAGATACTTTTTGTTGTTGCTTCTGCATTTCAATTGAGTTTTTGTTATTTAAATAGTGATTTCGTTTTCTTTTTTTAACTATTTCACAGCACACACTAAAAACAAATACAACTGGTGTTGAAGCTTCTTATTTGTTACCGTGACAAAATACAGATTTTTCTCCTGAAGAATAGTCTGTGTGCAACTATGTGCACTGTATGTTGAAGGAAATAAAATCCATCCAGAAGTATCACAGATTTGCACAAAGCTCATTTCTAAGTGAAGTTTGATCTAACGATGTTCTTTGAAATAGATAAAATTATGTTCATTAAATGCAAACACTACCTTGAATTTACTTATGATGAAAGTTAACGAAGAGAGAAATGTTTATCCCGCTGCAGTAAGGGTTCTCAGACATGTCTGGGTGTCGTCTTGTGTTTGTAGGATCATGTTCTTGTTGCAGCAGCACGCTCTTGGTGAAATACAAATGCTGTCATTAGTGTTGACACAGCTGACGGAGAGCCTGCAGGAAGTCATGCGTACCATCATTCAGGACGTTGTCGTGCATGTTTTATTTTATGATTTTAAATGTGTGTGTTTTTGTTCGCTCCCTGATTTAGGCTCTGCCAGTCTGCCCCATCCAGGCGTCATGCGATGCTGCTTCAAAGGAAGAAAATAAAGAAAAAAACAGATATGTCAACATCCTGCCATGTAAGAAACCATTGAAGACTCACACTTTAACGGAGCAGTTCTGATTGGCCCATTCAAAATTAATTTCCAAGTCTGGAAAAACTATAGAGCACCACATGGGAAAAATTGTTTTATCTTCACTGTGACCTTTTTGTTTGTTTGCTGTGTTTTTACTCATCCGTAAGTTTTGTTTCTGTCTCTTTCAGATGATCATTCCAGGGTTCATCTCTTGTCTCTAGAGGGAGTCCCCGACTCTGATTTCATCAATGCTTCTTTTATAAATGTATCTGCGCTATATCCTCTCTCCATACAGAACCTCCCTCCTCTAAATACAATGGACTCGTTGTGAATTTGTCACCCTAATTCCCAGTTTTGGTTTCCTCTTTTTTTTTTTTGACTGCAGGGCTACCAGGAGAAGAATAAGTTTATAGCAGCACAAGGTGAGAGTCTGCATTGATTAAATAACAAACTGTAACTTCAAACTTTGGATGATTAATTGTCTTAATTGTTGTTTCTGTCCTGATCTTTCAGGGCCAAAGGAGGAAACGGTAAACGACTTTTGGCGGATGATTTGGGAGCAGACTACAGCCACCATCGTCATGGTGACCAACCTGAAGGAGAGAAAGGAGGTAGATGATGTGTGCATTAAAATACTGAGATCTATTAACTATATACAACTTGAGCTGATACACAGTTAACAGGTGCTATGAAAACTAAAAAAAAATCTTTATGAAAACAGGCAGGAATGATAAAATCTATATATCTCAACATATTTTAGTTCTCCAGTATTTTATCACCATTTTAATGTAATTTTTACTTGTTCACCACTGCAGTTGTTCTTAACTTGTGTGCCCTGCTTTAGGCGTGTGTGTTCAGTCTGACGTCACTGTTTTTCAGTGTAAGTGTGCACAGTACTGGCCGGACCAGGGCTGTTGGACGTACGGCAACATCCGCGTGTCTGTAGACGACACGGTGGTTCTGGTGGACTACACTGTTCGCAAGTTCTGCATCCAGCAGGTAACATCCTGGAGCTGCTGCAGGGTACAGAAATGGTTAACTCACTTGTGCAAAGTTTATTTTGAGTATAAGTTTAAGGCTTTCTGTACCTCATGGAGGTGACGTGTTGCCAAAGCAAAGTGAGCAAAAAATAAATCTGCTCCATCTTCAACCTCTACTCTCCTGCCTGAATGTCTTTTTTTTATTAATTGATTAAAGTATAAAGTCTATTCAGTTTATTTATATAGCGCCAAATCACAACAAAGTTGTCTCAGGGCACTTTACAGGAACATTCACATACATAAAAGCCAATTCGTAACGTTCTCTATCTGTAGTCTGTAAATGACTTTAATGTAGGGAACTTGGTGCGTTTTGTTCATGGATCCCAGCAACTCTGGAAATCACGGAAAACCTGGAAAATTACTTTCACTTTTTCTTGACAGGTAAAACTCAGAGAATTTGAGAAAGACATAAAAAAAATCTGGGAAAACTCGGAGAACATGAACTCTGATCTGGTGATTCAAAGAGGATCTTTCTGGCATAGACAGAATAGGCTGATGCCAGGGGCTCCGTCCATCCAGGGGGCTCCACAAATGGAGAAGGAATAAAAGTAACTTTCTCATATTAAAACTTACAGGTCCTAATATGATAAAAACTATTAAAGCTGCATAGCAAAGCATGTCGTCCCTCGGCACCTACAGTTGGCTGTCCGCAGCGACGAGGAGCTCGGCAGACTGCTGGGAGGCGTGGCCATCGCTCTGGGAGGAGTTCGGCCCGTCATTAGGGCGGTCCTTCAGCCTGGGGGAACCGAGAGGCCAGCCGAGTCTGGGTGGACGGATCGGACGGCATGTGCTGCCAGTTTCTTAGGATCCACTGTGGGATGGACCTTTACAAGAGATCCTTCCTGCCTACAGCCATCAGCATCTAGAACATCTCTTAATGAAATGAGGATAACAAGTTATAACAACAAATAATTTCCCTTTGGGATTAATAAAGTATTTTTGAATTGAATTGAATTGAATATCAAATACAACTACTGTTAATAACTTTAATACTTTGCTTAGCTAGCACCCTAACCTAGACTGTACCTGCTCCTGTGCACATCACTGTCTGGGTGTGTCCACGTGCACTGTGGAATATAAGAGGACTTCACTATAGGACATAGTGGTAGTTTATTTAGTAGTAGAACTAGTCGCATAAGTTTGTCAAGCTTATTTCAGTGAGGACATAAACACTTGTGTTGTACTCAAGTATATTGTACTATATTGTCTAGGTATAGTTGATTTACCGGTAGTATGTAAATACTGGTTACTCTGGTTTATGAAGGCAACCTGTTCTGTGTTACCTACCTGGTATATTTGTCAGAACAGCCTGCTTTGTAAAGGTTAAGTTTCTGTGTTACCTACCTGGTATATTTGTCAGAACAGCCTGCTTTGTAAAGGTTAAGTTTACATAAAAGTTATATGGTACAGGAGGTATATTGTGATAAAAATGATGCAGTCGGAACAAACCCATGGTGCTCGGTGTGTAACAACAAACAATGCTGATGCTCTTTTCAAGTATGATTTCAGAGAACGTTCAGCTGAAATGCTAGCTGTGAGTCAGTGTTCAACCTTCATACTCATTTGATCTTGTTTTATTAATCTTAAGAAGAGTCTGTAGAATTGAGTAAAATGCATTTCAAATGGCTGGAGAATGCATCGTTTTGAGTAGATTATAAAAAAAATAAAAACCATGGGGCACGCCCCTGTACCCCATTAGGACTGCTTCACTCAGCAGGTGTTCAATAATACTAACAGGTGTCCCTCTTTGCCGTCAGCAAATGTGGATTGGTAAGATGTAGGCTTTTGTAATTTTGTTTTAAATTCATTATATTGTTAACTTTTACCTGGTTTCTGAAGCAACATACCGGTAGTTTCTTGTGTGAGTTTATGTAAATTAGCATTGAGATTAAAAATATTATGCCTGCAGCACCATCTAAAATCATGCCCAGGATGCCAGATCGGCCGGCCCTGTTCCTTACTGAATGGATGTGGTGGCGTTGTTCTGATATCATGCAGTAGAATGAATTAATAGGAATGATTGCTGTATGCACGTACTGTAGGCTACAGCGTACTTCCTGTCATCTCTGAATGTGGCTCTGCCTGCCACCTACGACGCTAAGTTCTGAGTGTTTGGGGTGAAATTCTCCTGGAATTTCAGGATTTACTCAGGGAAACGTCTGGGAGTTTTGTTTTCATGACTCGCTGGGAACTTATTACATTTTTGATTGTCTGTTTCAAAGGTGGGCGATGTTTCTGGGAAGAAGCCTCAGAGACTGGTCACTCAGTTCCACTTCACCAGCTGGCCAGACTTCGGGGTGCCCTTCACCCCCATCGGCATGCTCAAATTCCTCAAGAAAGTTAAAAACTACAACTCTCAGTACGCTGGACCCATTGTTGTTCACTGCAGGTAAGTGAGGGACTTTCAGTTTCCAGCTTTATTTTTATGTGTTTTCTGCAACTCACATGTCTGTGTGTGTGCGTGTGTGCGCGTGTGTGTGTGTCAGTGCGGGTGTGGGAAGGACGGGTACCTTCATAGTGATTGATGCCATGCTAGACATGATGAACGCTGAGAAGAAGGTGGATGTTTACGGCTTCGTGACCCGGATAAGAGCCCAGCGCTGTCAGATGGTGCAGACTGATGTGAGTCCAGACTGAAAGTATAAAAATGTTAACAAACGCTGCAGAGGCACTTGTGTCTGACTCATCAAGCGTGTGTGGATGTATTGTAGAGTGATTCATGTTTTCTCCCCACAGATGCAGTACGTTTTCATCTTCCAGGCATTGTTAGAGCACTACTTGTACGGGGACACGGAGCTGGAGGTGTCCTCGTTGGAGTCCCACTTAGCTAAGCTGTACGCCCCTGCACCTGGCGCTGGCTGCAGCGGGCTGGAGGCCGAGTTCAAGGTCTGCACGCGCGCTTTAATCCTATTTTCAAACTTTTGACTGTTGTTCTTCGGCATCAAATAAACAAAGTTGTGATCTGCTGATCTTAAGAAACTCACGTCAATCAAGATTCAGAATGACAAGATGAGAACAGGCAACCTGGCTGTCAACATGAAGAAGAACAGAGTGCTGCAGATCATTCCATGTGAGCGGTTTAGTTCATCATGCATGTTTTCTGTTGCATTTCATGCAGTTTTGCCTAAAAGTGGTAAAGAAGACCATGAAGTCTCACATTCTTGTGTCAGAGCTTCTATCATTTAGGGCTTTTTTATTTTATTTTTCTAACAGACGAGTTCAACAGAGTCATCATTCCAGTCAAACGAGGGGAGGAAAACACAGACTATGTCAACGCCTCTTTCATTGATGTGAGTGTTTTAAAAAGACAAAAGGTCTCGTCTTATCGAAGACCATCTTGTTTAAATGATGCAAGCTATCAATAAGTGGTTTTGAGCTGGCTAGTCTCTCCATCTTTGTTTAATTTGCGTCACTCAGCCTTTTCCGTCTATCACTTCCTGTTCTCTGTGTGTCCACAGGGCTACAGGCAGAAAGATGCTTACATCGTGAGTCAGGGGCCCCTGCTACACACCATAGAGGACTTTTGGAGGATGATCTGGGAGTGGAGAAGCTGCTCCATAGTCATGCTCACTGAGCTGGAGGAGAGAGGCCAGGTGTGTGTGTGTGCAGATACAAACATGACTAGATATCAATCATTGGCTGAAACAGACAGTATTGTAACAATCTCAGTAAATGTGTGTGAAAGTTAACTTACAGAAGTTTCTAATTTATGATGTTTGAGAGTATTTAATTGAATATAAAGATTTAAAATTACAATTAAAATGTGTAAATGTCACATATTTTGTTTTGTTTTTGTCTAAAGGTGAAGATGATATTGTTTGTTTATATTACACTACCGCTGATTATATATATATATTTTGTACTAGCCTTATTGCATATGTCACTTTACCTACACCAATATCAAGGACTTCATACATACACTGTGTACTCCACATACATACATACATACATACACTGTGTGACTGTGTGTCACTTCATATGCTGCTTTGCCACTCACTACATTTCATTTTATTTTTATAGTTATACTTAAAAAAAAAATTATACCGCTATAGTACAATTTAAGACAGTATCATGCTTTTATTATTTCATTTTATGGTTATGTTTATTAAATGTTTTAATGTTAAATGGTTATTGTTGCACCGGGGTCTGAGAGTAATGTAATTTCAATCCTGTGTATGTCCTGTACATATTTCAGTTTTTGACAATAAAGTGACTTTGATAATAGCTGCCTGTTCCTCTCGTGTGTGTGTTTTAGGAGAAGTGTGCTCAGTACTGGCCCAGTGAAAGGGTTGTGAGCTATGGAGACATTTCCATTGAGCTTAAAAGGGAGGAGGAGAACGAGAGTTACACAGTGAGGGACCTCCTGGTCACCAACACCAGGGTGAGGAAGTAGAACCACAAGCTTCTTTCACATAAAAAAAAGCTTTCAGGCCTCAAAAAGCCTTCTGCATGCTCATCAGATGGATGTCCTTCCAGAATGTCCTGGTTTAATGGGGCTGAGCAGCTCCTTGACATACAGACTCCTCATAGTTTAACAGATCAAATAAATACCATCAGTTATTATTTTACCCAATAACTAAATGTTCTTTCACTCTGCTGTCCAGGAGAACAAGGCTCGAGCCGTGCGTCAGTTTCATTTCCATGGCTGGCCAGAGGTGGGCATCCCTACAGACGGTAAAGGCATGATCAACATCATTGCTGCGGTGCAGAAACAACAGCAACAATCCGGCAACCACCCCATCACTGTGCACTGCAGGTGGACCCACTGAACAAACACAGCTGCTTTCTTTTCACTTTTATCTTGCTTAAGAAACTTTAGAGGACCACCATGTTCAAGGTTAGGATGAAATATGTAACGTGTGTCAATGTTCTGTGTCCATGCTTTCTGCCAGTGCTGGTGCTGGACGGACGGGGACGTTCTGTGCACTGAGCACGGTTCTGGAGCGAGTGAAGGCTGAAGGCATCCTGGATGTCTTCCAGACTGTCAAGAGCCTCAGACTACAGAGACCCCACATGGTGCAGACACTGGTAAGATGCTGAGTTTGTAGTAATATTAATGCAGGTTGGGGTTTCGTCTTAAAAAACTGTTTTTAGTGGTCGAACAATGTGCTGTTGTTTTTATTTGTAAAATGTGTTGTGAGAACAAATTAAAATAAACTTGGTGAAGCTGACGTGACATCCAGAGGATTTGTGGTCAAAGTGCACAAACGCAGAACCACAGTGCTCATCTTTTTATCATTAGAGTTATTTTACTGGTATTTGTTTTCAGTCTTCCAGAACAAAGTGCCATATTTTTCAGACTATAAGGCGCAATATCAATGAACGGGTCCGTTTTCATACATAAGGCACTTTAAGCGAAACAAAACCGTCAGATAAGTCAAACTTTATTCAGCTCATTCACGGTAACCACATAAAATCGGTTCGAGGTCAGTAAGCACAACCAGAATTCATACATAAGGCGCACCGGATTATGAGGCTCACTGTTGCTTTTTGAGAAAATGAAAGGATTTTAAGTGCAACTTATAGTCCTAAAAATATGGTAGTTAAATTAAAGGCAGCTAGATGCCTTCTTGATTCTTTCAGACGTTTCGCTTCTCATCTAAGGGTATTTCTCAATTTAACTAAAAACTGGGAATTTTAAACCAAGAAAATGTTTAATTTGTCTTTGAAAGGTCTGAGTTGAGAAATGTTCTCAGATAAATCCAGTAGTTGATTCAGCTTGTAGAGAGCCAAGTTTGACACAATGAGGACAAACCAAAACCATTTTTCTCCTTTTTTTTGTACATTTAATAACTTTAAAGACATCAGATTCAATTTAAAGTTTAGTAAGTTAAGATAGAACTTTATTGATGCTGCAGGAAATTTTTGTGCCAGAGTTTCAGTACAAAGGAACGTACACAAGGAATCATACGAGATATAAAAAATAAAGAGAAATATTAAAATAACAGAGAATATAAAAATACCAACAATTAATTTCTAAAACAGGTCAGGTGCAGATAGAAACATTAAAGAGTTTATTGTAGTGCATGATAAATTTTATTGTCCTATGTGCAGAAAGGGGGAGGAGTTGAAAAGTCTGATAGCCACAGGGAGGAAGGACTTCCTGTGTGTTCTGTGCAGCACCTCGGTGTCTCAGTCTACGACTGAAGGTGCTGCGGTGAGAGTCCAGGGTGTCGTGCGGGGGGTGTGATGTGTTGTTCAGGATGTGGAGCAGGTTCCTCAGCATCCTCTGCTCAGACACCTCTGTCAGAGACTGCAGGTCCACTCCCAGAACTGAGCCAGCTCTCCTGATGAGAGTTTTATTCTGAAATACTTGGCAGTAATTCTTCTATTACCGGGACTTTTTATTTATTTATTTATTTATTTTTTTTTTGATTACCTCTAACTTCAGTTTGTTTAGATTGCTACCTTAGAGTGAAACAAACTTGCCATATTTGTTAATCTGTTAATTAATTAACTCTGACATAACTTCGTTTAACGTGTGTGTGTTAGATCAGAGCTGCAGAAGGAAATTACAGCAGTCCCTCACTTATCGCTGGGGTCATGTTCCAGACGCCCCCGCGATAGGTGAAAATTTGCGAAGTAGGGACGTTCTATTTATTTTAGTACTTATATATATTTTAAGACTTTATAAACCCTTCCCACACGCTTGCAATGTTCTTAACAATGTTCTAACCTCTCTAAAAGAGCACAGCGAAAGAGAGCAGACAGACTGATGCTGCTGTTACTGAACCAATCAGCATCCAGGAGAGCACAACGCTCTGGTTGGTCACTGTCCATCCATCAGCCACTCGTGTGTCCTGTACAATCTTACGTTGAAAACCCACAAAAAAATGAGTACCTGAAAGTCAAACAGCAAAGTACCGAGGAACTACTGTAATTATTTTTGGCAAACGATAACGATCCATCGTACTCGGTTTACTTGAAATACTTGTGTTCAGCAGGCAGAGTGGAACACTGAAGATCTTTGTACCTGCTGAGTTTAAAACAAGCTCTAAGACAACTTGCTTTTATTGTATTTGTACATATTTACACATTTATTCAAGGTTCTTTGTCATTCGCATCACATGTGGTACATGATGTAGTAGAAAGTTGTGCACTCAAGGTCCCAGTTACACCCAAAAATAGCAAAAATATATAAAAAAGAAACTAAGGATCTAAAGATATATGCTAAAAAGTAATAATGTAAAATAATACAGCATATTAAAGAGCAGCCTGAACATGAGTCTGTAGTGAGCAGATGGGTATGAATACAACAGCTTATGGGTAAGAAATCAGCAGCACAGATAAAGTGTCAAATATCCAGTTAAAGTGGAATTACATTGATTTTCTTGATTAGGGATTTATGAGTCTAACCATGTCTTTCATGTTCTGTTTCTTCCACCTCCTCCTCAGGAGCAGTACGAGTTCTGCTACAAAGTGGTCCAGGAATACATCGACGCCTTTTCCGACTACGCCAACTTCAAGTAGGGACCTTCTGTGGATGGATGTCCTCACACACTTGTTACAAGCATAAGCTCATACCAGAACACACACGAACATTCTCCTGCAGGGAGCTGCTTATTGACCCGTCTGGTCCGTCGTTCTGAAAGACTTGATCCGAGGACTAAAACCTGCCCGCAGGGAAAGGGAACAGAAGTCAGCGCCCGACGGTCGGGGCAGCCCAGGTGGACACGGAGACTAACTCAGATGCCTTCTTGAATATTTTGTAACCATGTTAATAACAGCCCATCACTTTTATTTACTTTCCATCTCCACGTTCTAAATGTAAATATCCTTACTGTGACGCTTTATATTACTTTGATTTCAGACACAGTTTGAAGTTTGGCTGCATTTTCAAGTGGCACTTGTAATGTATTTTGTTGGTATACATAGATATATAAAAATATAAATATATATGAATATAAACCAAATGTTTTTGGTGGAGAATGTGCAACATCAAGCTTTTCTTTTCTTTTCTTTTTTTCTCAAAAGATTTTAAATATTTTTGACTTTGCCTGAGCCTGGTTGTAGCGACGGGTGGAAGGAGAAGTTTTGGACTGTTCCTTCACGCCCACACACACAATGAGACATTTTTCTGCATCTAACTTACTTTCATTTACCTGGCCTAAATAATAAATACTTTTTTTTTTAATCCAAGGGTTCGAAAATGACTCAAAGTGTCTGATGTAGCTCGTCCGCTCAGGTTTTCTCACCAGCCCACGTTCAATTATCACGAGCCATTCAGCTGTTTCACAGGACGTGTGGGCGTTCGAGCAGACTCGCTGTGTTTTCACATTTCGGTCCGTCTCGTGCCAACGGACTTCGCTCTTCCCGCTCGTGTACCTCTGGAGTTTGAGAAGCTACTAACCGTGTCGAGACGTTTCGTGCGACAGACCTGCTCAGGGTGACATCATCACTCAGCGACGGGCTTTGGACTGACAGGAATTCAGGAAAGTTAAAAATACATACATTTTTCTGCAATCTAGAGGCCTCTTTGAAAATGTTTGTTTTGTTTTAAATAAACGGGTCGACCATTTTGCTGTGGGTCATGTGTAAAGGGTATAAATAATATTAGTTTGGAGAAGTTTGTGTCTAACAGGAACGACGAGCGAATGGCTTGTCCTGATGCAGCTGACTGGACTTCTGTCATCTTAAAATAACAATTAATTTAAACTATTTCAGTTTATTCAAAAGTTATTTTATGGGCATTTATAGACCTGTTGGGTTTTGCTCTACACGCTTATTTACGTTCTTTCATATTTACGGCTGTAGACGGCAGCAGCAGGCTGTAGCACTTCTTGAGCATCTGGGGGTCACAGGCAGGAAATTCATGTTTCTGCCCAAATAATTTGGTAAACGTGAAATAAACAACAATGTAATAGTTTAAATACCAAAGTTTATGCTCAGTAATCCAGGTACAAATCCAACAATGTTCAGTCAGGTCATCTGAACGGTTTCTTTTTTCGCAGAGACGTTTCGTCCTTCATCCAAAGGACTTCTTCAGTTGAGTTTGAACCACTTTGGCGTGGTTGCCTCAGAGGAGGTGACGGGGAGAGGGCGGGCCCCGGAGGCCATCTTATCACCAACAATCTGTTTTTTTCCACTATAGGAGTGTGCTGCTGGTGGGACTCGGTTTGTTTGGTGGCTCCTCAGATTGAAGAAGTCCTTTGGATGAAGAACGAAACGTATCAGCAACAAAAGAAACCATACAGATGACCTGACTGAACGTTGTTTAATAGTTTAAATATTACTGCTCGTATCACCCACTGTGAAATTAAAGATCATTATAAAGATGAAAGCTAAATTCACTTTACGCTTCATTTGGACAAGTTCAAAGTGACGAGTCTGAATGATCCATTTCTCAAGTTTTGCCGTCTTAAAGCAGCTCCAATCAAACATTTTAACAAAATTCTTGCTAATGTTCAATCCATTTCACTCCTGATAGTTGCATATGACGTATTATTTGGGGGTGAGGGGCAGAAATATAAGAATTTCTGCTGCAACGTGAGCTTGGATGCTCTGGAAGTGTGACATGTTTTTACTGCGGGTGATGTTTTTGCTAGTAAATAATACATTTAAATCAATTTTGATGGCAAAAACCCATAAAATGCCTATAGCATGAATTATTGTAACTTGTTTTAGATTAATTTGGAGGTAATCCCTCGCTCACACTAGCCCTTAGTTTGTCGCTCCTGTCGGACATAAATTTTCTCCAAACTGAGGTCGTTCAAAGAGATTTTACACAGAAACCCTCTTAAAATGGTCAAATTACTCCTTTAAAGTCTGTTACAGTGGCAGCAGCCAGGATGATCATGTTGATGAGCCGAACCATAACTAAAAGTTACGATGCGCAGACATTAACAAACCTAAACATCCAGCAGGATTATATTTTGGACATCGTGTTTTTGTTCGTATTTAGACTGTTTGGAGGATTTATTTTCTGCTCAGATTCAGTCGCTTCTTTTCATATCAGCACCTCGTCCCTACGTCTGTAACTCCTTAGAGAGGACTTTTTAACTTCTGGCAGCTTTTAATCTTGCCCTGCCGTGTTTGTGCATTATTTTCATTATTATTATGTGGATGTCCTACAAACTCTTTGGCAGCAGGAAGTTAACTCCAGCTGAGGTCACTGTTAAAGCTGCGTTCCTCGTGATTGTAATAGAAGATGAATGACGTCATTTCACCGTAAGACTGGTTCAAATTTAAGCTCAGGAAGTGACTGATGGTGTTTAAACTTAGTCTGCTTGAATGTTTTGCTTCCTGCTATGAAAAGAAGGAAATGAGTATTTTTCTTTGTTTTGATTTTGTAGTATTTCAGGAGTTTTCCAAATATTTCAATCTCATTGCGTTGTGGACTTTAAACATCCCCATCGTTGTGCACAAGATGCATTAAACCAGTGGTGCCCAACCCTGATCCTTGAGGAACACCATCCTGCATGTTTTAGTTGTTCCCTGCTCCAACACACCTGATTCAGCAATTTAATTACTTTAAGTTCTGCAAAAGGCTGTTACTCACCCATTAATTAAAAGCAGGTGTGTCGGATTAAAGAAACTACTAAAACATGCAGGATGGTGTTCCTCAAGGACTAGGGTTGGGAACCCCTGCATTAAACTAACACTCCCATATTTATTTCCCTTTATAAAATGAAAAGCACAATCAAAATGATTGTTTTTTTAAATGTGAGCATTGTTACAATGGTCATGTGGGGGACTGCATCAGATTTGAATGTTGGAGCGCTCGTGCAGAATTTGCACCAAGATTAAAGCTCTTAAAAGAACCCGACGAGAACAAAGGTCGGAGTGATGTTCTGAGTTTCCGAGACGGCGACTCCGTGTTTAGAAGCTCTTCCAGGTTTGAAGGTGAGCTCGCTGATGGCTGACTGGACCAATCACTGAAACGGTCTGTGTCACAAGCACCACATTAAGTGCCATCGTGTTCTTCGTTTTGCATTTCCTCTGAAATGTTGACAGGAGGAGGAGAGGTTAGGCCTTTTTATTTATTTTTTTGTTGTTCAGTTTTAAATTTCCTGGGTTTTATGGGTGCGGTTTGGGATTTTTGTGACATCTCTCTGCAGTTTGACGGCCAAACGTGACGCAGTGCCACCCGTCAGGATATGACTCAAACTGGAAACAAAAAGAGTGCCTCGCTGTTTAAACAAATAATTATTCACAATGTGGTGGAGTCTTCCTGCTTCCATTTCCAGCCTTTTACCTGGAATAGGACAAATTATTTTCCCTTTAGTTCCCACCTCTGCTGTGTGGATCAAACTAACGTTAAGGCTCCTTTGTGATTAATTTAATCAGCTGAACACGACTCCATGACAATCAGTTATGGGTTTTATAGAGAAGATGAATAAAAGTTGCCCTCATTTGTTTATCCTTTTAGAATTGTCCCATCTGTGTCCAGATGTTTCCTCCCACTCCACTCACTGGTGTCCTCCTCTTCCTTTCACTCGTGAGCCATTTTGTCCAGGTGGTTAACGCTCGCCCTCCTTTTGTACATATTGTAAGGTTATTTATGCGTCATGTCGGCCGCCTTGCTTCTCTTTTGCCCCCCTTCTTTTTAAGAACTGTATCGGGACCATTTTGAAAGGTGTTACATGGTTTATTTGGCCGTTTTAATTTGGTATACTTGTCTTAAGCAAATCCATTTTATTTCTAGTGTTTTGTTATTCAACATTTGAATATTTGTATATATAATTATATATGATAAAATTATATATAATTATATAATGCCAAATGGCCTTTATAAGCAAGATACTGTTTAAACCTAATAAAGTGCTTGAGATTTTAACGTTTTTTTCCTGAATTTGTTTTTAATGAATATGTTAATTTAACCTATCTATCTATCTATCTATCTATCTATCTATCTATCTATCTATCTATCTATCTATCTATCTATCTATCTATCTATCTATCTATCTATCTATCTATCTATCTATCTATCTATCTATCTATCTATCTATCTATCTATCTATCTATCTATCTATCTATCTATCTATC